TTCTGCCTAACCTACCTTACAGTGTTGCTGTACAGATCGCAAAGCCAAAGAGAATGAAGTAAGCTGCTTTGCTCCCCGCTAATGAGAAAGACAGAATTTTGCCTACAAAGAGGCTGCTGAGAGGGGAGGAGATAAAGTTGCCAGCTTTAGGTATGGAAATTCCTGGAGATTTGAGGAGTGGAGCCCAGAGAGGGGGACCTCAGACAGGTACAGTGCCATAGACTCCACCCTCGAAACCAGCCTTGCCAATCTCCAGGTGAGGGCTGGAGAGCACTCAGAATTACAACTGCTCTGCAGAAGGGAGGGCAGAAGTCAGCTGAAGTCAAAGGGGCAGATAATGGTAGGTTGATGGTTAGCTGGGAAGGAGATGGGGTTGCCCCTCCACCCTCCAAACCAGCCATTTTGTCCTGGGTAACAATTGCTGCCAATCTCCAGGTGAGGGCTACAGATCACTCACAATTACAACTGCTCTTCAGGTAGCAGAGATCAGTTCCTCTGGAGAAAACAGTGGACTCTGTCATTATACCCTGCTGAGGTCACCACAGCAAATTGACACTGTTTGCCCAAAGCCAGAGCACTCCCCCAGAGCCTCTTTCTAGATCTCGTTGTATTGCTTTCACAACAGGCTTTACTGCTAGTATATATATATATATATATATATACACATACATACATACATACATTTCTAAATCCTGCAATATATATCTCAATGAGAAACACCATTCACTTTCTGGCTCCACAGTTCTTTGGAATTTTTAATGCAACACCTAGAAGAGCCATGAATTAAACTGACAGTAGTAGCCAACTATTTCAGCAGGTTTGACAAGGTTATCTGTTTCAGGTTCTTTCAGTCTATATGAGCTGCTTTTAGATATGCTATTGCTCATACATAGTAGTTACTGTTTATTATGCAGTATCTGTTTAAAAACAAGAAAGACTGTTTTCCTCCATTACTTTTCAAAGCACCAGTTCATTTTTTCACCTTGATTTTATCAGTTTTATTCAGGGTTTTGTTTGTTTTTTGAAAAGGAGGTGCCAGAACTCTCAAGAGGGAAATGACGTTTTCAATCTGTATACTGAAAACATTTTAAAAATAATTTTTTTGAAGAGGTTCTGGAACTCCATTCCGGTGTGGTCCCCCCCCCCAAAAAAAAGCCCTGGTTTTATTCATAAGGGACTAGAAACTTGGGCTGGATCCAATACAAAGATTGCGGCTCCTCCTGGCTTTCCCTTTCCACCCAGCAGTCCTTTCTGATCCAAGGAAAGTTTATTTCTGGGGTTGCAGGATCCACATGACATAAGAGCCATACTGGTCTGGAGGCTTTATGGAGACAAACCCTCCTTCCTCTTCTATTAGCAGAGCTTCACTCACACACAAGGGAAAAGGAGTGATTTCTTCATATTTGCTGTCTCCACTGCAGCCTCCCAACCCGTACAGCTATTACTCCACACAACCCCAGGTTCTAAATGAGGAGGGAAAAGAGGAAGGTCAGCATTCATCCGTGCCTTTCTCTGACAGTCATGGGGTGGAACCTTAAAGACCAGCCAAGGACAATACAACATGACTAGGCGCCAGCGATCCATTGCCTAGCTTCACTCCTGAGAAATAATGGGGACTAGGATCCTGGATTTTCCGTGGGGAACCTATAGGAACATTGGTGGGAGATTTAAACCCAGCAATAGGATCTAGGGGTGTTCCCAGGTACTGTATAAAGTTGGCCTCACGGCCGTTGTTCTATACTCTAATTGTGTACCAGTAAACCATGCTGATCACTACATCAGTCTCTGTGGTTTATACATGCGTCTAACCCACTACACAATAGTTCATCTGTACAAATTTCAGACAGCCACTTGTGCCATAACTAAACTTAATTATATCCTACTTTCCCCCCCCCCCCAGAATCCAAACATTCAATTGCAGGAGTACTTAAAAAAGACATCAAGCACTACCATCACTAGAGGCAAGATGCTCTGAGCCATTTAATATTTTCAGAAGGCAAAGTGCAGCCTGTCATAAGTGTAGCTTCAGACACTTGGGCCTCATGACAAGCTATTTCATTCTGATCATTCATATATTCTTAGAAGTTGCTAATATGACAACCAGCGCAATTCTTATTTAAAGTCTGAAGTGCTGGAAGAAAGCTTTTTAAAAGGACACGGCATTAACTTTGCTTCTTACCTGACTATGCTTTCCTCCAGTTATATTAAATCCAAGAGTATCATTTTCTCTGTGTAGCATGATGGTGAAGATCTTAGGCTGCTCTGTCTAGGAAGAAAAACACAACACGCTGTTAATTAAAAAAATTCTTAGCCACAAGTAGAGTACACATATGACAACAAGCTATTATAGACAAGAGACATTAAAATAACAACGCAGAACAAACCCATGTTAAACCACCTCACCATCAGCAGCAAAGAGTTTCATTAACAAGCCATGTCATTAGATTGGGCACAACACACAAGCTGTATAGCTGATCTTTCTTATAATCTATGCTTAAGGCAAATTGAACAAGGTGTGACTTACATCTGAGCAAAACAGAAAGATTACTAGAACACTATAATCTCCCTTATAAATAAAAGCCGAATGGTGGTGGCACTTCTCTAGAACATTCCACACGCTTGGTTGGCGCCCTGGTGTGTCACTCAGAATCTGTCCCTATCCACTGGCTGCATTGCTTGAGTCTCGCCTCCAACAGTCTAAACAGTTTGCTGTTCCTCTCCCCCCCATAGCCAGTCAGAACACAGAGGTTATTTGCATCTGCAGCCTCATTGGCCTTTGCCTAGGAACACAGAGGTCGTTTGCATATGCGACTTGATTGGCTTTTGCCTCTAACATTCTAAACAGTTTGCTGTTCTGAGGTAAAATGTGTCCAATCTCCAGGTGAAGGCTGGAGATCACTCAGAATTACAACTGCTTTCCAGATGGCAGAGATCAGTTCCCCTGGAGAAAATGGGGGGCTCTGTATCCTTATATGCTGCTGAGGTGGCTCCCGTATGACAGCCACTGTGACGTAGCAGTCAGGGGCCAGGGCTTCAGAGCACGGGAGAGGCTGCAGGTGTGTGGGGGGTGGAAAGCTGAGGAACCATCGTTGCCAATTTCCAGGTGAGGGCTGGAGATCACTCAAAATTACAACTGTTCTTTAGGTAGCAGAGATCAGTTCCTCTGGAGAAAATGGTGGACTCAGTGTCATTATACCCTGCTGAGGTCGCCACAGCAAATTGACACTGAGTGTCCAAGGCCGGGGCACCCGCCCAGAGCCTCTTTCTAGAGATCGTTGTATTTATTTCCACAACAGGCCTTTTTCCTAGTAAACTATATGGTTAATCTAGCCAACGGCCACCTGTAGGTCTCTGTGACAGCATTGTAAAGGTGGCAAGATATTTATGTTTTGAACAATCACCTGCTCTTCAAGCAGAAATTATCTGCAGTATCAATGTTTTGTTTGTCTGGAACTGGTAACCCTCCAAATAACATTTACAGTAGCCACGTTGTGATCAAACTAAATTGTGTCCCAATGAGACATCCCACTGCATTGTATCATTTATACACATCTGCCTTCTTTTTTTTTTTTTGCCTAAAGAAAAAAATTCAGTACAAGGCCCAATCTGCATCTAGCATTTGCTCCACTATTTTACCAAACCCACACTGGAACAGAAAAAGATGTGGCTCAAAACCACATTCAAATATCTCAGGCTAATGCTGTACTGACTGCAGAGTCACCCCTGAATGGCCATAAAACAGCCATAAATCTATGCAGACAGCTACCATAAAACCAAGAAATCAAACAAAAGTAGCATGCAGTCTGCACACTGCCATAAAATCCGACAATCAATCAAAAAGGAAGTGGCGTGCAATGCACAGGAGAATTTCTGTTCCACTGTGGGTTTGGTAAAACAGTGGAGCAAATGCTAGATGCAGATTGAGCCATAGTTAACTTGGTCCACATCCTCAAGCATCCATGGATTCATAAGTTACATAAAAGACAGGAACCTGTTCCAACAAAGTAGGATAAAGAAGTTGCTTTGATGTATGCCTTCTTGCTGTACAATACTACACATTGGATACGCTGTAAACCACTGCAGTGATTCTTATACATTTCCAGTGATTCTTATACGTAGGCAGACACAATTGTGTGGCTATATATATAGTCTCAGTTTTGTCTTTCCTGAATGCCTGATAGAATGCCTGATGGAAGTCAAAGAGAAAGTTCCCTCCTAATTCCATCCCAGTGACAATTCCCACAACAGACAACCTTCCTTTGAGAACCAGTGTGGTGTAGTGGTTAGCATGTCAGGACTAGGATCCAGGAGACCCAAGTTCAAATTCCAGTTCTACAATGGAAGCTTGCTGAATGACTTTGCTGGGTCACTCTCTCTCAGCCTAACCTTACAGGGTTGTTGTGATGATGAAGTGGTGAAGGGCAGAATGACAGCACCACTCTGAGCTCTTTGGAGGAACCAAAGGATAAAAATGTACTAAATAAATAAATACCTCAAACTGATGTGGTAGTGTTTCTTTGTAGATGCTCAGCTGACAACCATATGATTCAATAACTTTTATCTCTGAAAAGACTGGCAATACAGCCCTTCCTCCAACTCAGAAACAACCTTTTTAGAGTCTTGTAGTACTGTAGTACTATCTCTGGTCTCAACACACACAACAACAACCTCATTCTGGAATATTATGAATGAAGCTGAGAAAGAGAAGTCTACCTAAAACACCCAAAAACAATTTTAAAGATAGTGCTTAAGAGAAGAGCCTCCAGTAGCTGTATTCACTGCCACCTCTTAGAAATATGAAACACCACTAAAGATAACATCTGAGCATATGCATAACAAACACTAACCACTTCTCCAACCACCCCAAACTAGAGAGTAAGGGGGGAAACTCCAAGACAAAACAAGTTTCACTTTCTAAAATTAAAGACTTAATACTCAAGGCTTCCTGATACTCAACACTTTTCCCTTACAAAAGTGCACAGCTATTAAACACTGTGAGAACATAAGTTCCACAGGTGCACCTTTCTGCCAGAATAGGGACTGGGGCAGTCATCTTCTGGATTTTTACCACATGTTTATCACAGCTCACAAGGAGCTCAGGATCACATCCACAGTATACTAGTCCATACTTTTACCCTCTCAACAACCCTGTGAAGTAGGTCAGAGAGAAAGAAAGGACAAACAGCTGGTTATCGAGCAGGGTCTGCACCCAAGTGTCCCACCTCTAAGTTAGCCAGTGCCATATCTATTTCTATAATGGGTTTTAACTAGAATAACTGCATACGATTGTTCCACTTATAATTGTTACACAAAGACAGAGCTGGGGGGAGAAGGGGTAAGGCTCTCCCTCTCAATTAAGGCTCTGAGGGGCAAGGAGGAACATTTCGGTAGAGCAGGGCCATCAAGCGAGAGGGATGAGGGGGACATTGGAGGTGGACCACGTATGAGACTTTCTTTCACATGATGTTTGAATTAGGTAGGGGCAACGGGTGGTCCATTTTGTCGGGGAGGGAGGAGGGCGGGCTCTGGAGTCTGGACAACGTTGCCTCAAAGGGGGGAGGATAGCACACTAGCTGGTCTGGTGCTCACCTTGCTGCGCGGCCCGCTCCCACGGTCCCTGGGGATGGTTCCAAGGTGGCTCACGTACTGGCTCAACTTGTGCTGGTACTTGAGCGCCGTCAGTTGCACCTCGCTCTGCAGCGCCGCCAGCTGGCCCAGCAGCGCCTTCTCGTCCTGGCGCCAGCAAACGGCCTGTCTCTTTAGCTCCTGCTGGCAGCTGGCCGACTGGCTTCGGCGGGTGCCCAACGCGCGCGGGCAACAAGAACGGGCTGCATCCTCCTCGTCGCTTGCCTCGCCGCAACCAGGCCACTGCTGTTGCTTTCTTCGCACCGCCGCCAGCCCGCAACCCTCCCGAATGCCGCTGCCCCGCCTGTGCAACTGCACGTCGAGCCCCTCGGCGCAGTCCTCCTCCTGGCGGGGTCGGCATCTGGCCGGGCTGAAGGCGCAATGCTCGACGTGCGCCGCCAATTGGCGGAGGAGCACGTGCCTTCGGCAGCCCCGCGCGCTGTAGTCGCACTTAACCGGCAGGCGCTGGACGAGGTTCCTCAGCGGCAGTACCCGGTGCAGCTCCTGGACGCAGATGGGCTGGCAGCGCAGGGGGCAGCGCCGCTGCCGCACCGCCCAGGGCAGCAGGCAGCTGGCGCAGAAGACGTGGCCGCACGGAGCAGACAGAGGCTCGTCCAGCACTTGGCCGCACAGCTTGCACCTCAGCTCGGGATCCACCGGCTCTACAAAGCGCTCCGTGTCCAGACCCATGGCGGGATGGGCGACTTTCAGGCGACCCCCCCCCCTGAACTTTTCTCCTCCGGCGGCCGCTTGCAACAACTCCGAGGAGGAGGTGGGAACGCAGCTAGGGGATAAAGGGAAGGAAGGGGAACCCGCCGCTCGGAGTTGCTTCGCTTTGAAGTTTTCCGCGGCTCGCCTGTCCTTCGGATGCTGCCGTATTCCTTCGAATAGGCGCCGCCGTCCTATAGCTCTCTTTCCGCACTGTCAACACCTCCACCCTTTTAGTGCTGCCGCTGGGCGGAGGAAAGGGGCTGGCTCGCTCTGCGCTTAACGGAGATGACAAACCGATGCTCCAGGTTACATCCATACAGTGGGGGCGGGAGAACAGCGGGAGAGAGAACTGGCCACCAGAAGAGCCCACGAATGGGAAAACAAACGCAAAACAGCAGGCCCACGCAATTGGCTTTAGTTGCAAATAAGAGTGCATAGGATCCTATACTTAATCTCCCAGCAAGGCTAAATTTGCACCAGAGATGGCTCTTTTTAAATGCCAAAGGTAATGTCACTAAATACTTTATTACTGCTTGTGTGTTAATCCAAAGAAGAAGAAATATCCTCCTGGGTCCCCCCCCCCCTAGATTGTTCTGTATAGAATATACAGGATAGATTGATTTGCTTTTATCTGTCAATTTAACAAATGCACTTACTGGCATTATTTTATGTTGTGCTTGCCCACTGGAGTGAGAACACTGCCAGTGAGGATGTGCAGAGTGCTTTCCCTTCACTGATATATTAGAACACTCCTTTCCCTCTGGGATGAGAGGAGAAAGTTTCCAGGTCAGTTGCCAGGATTTCTCACCAGAATTGAGGCCAAACCCCCATCATTTTTTGCAAATTAAAGATAATCTGTATGTCATTGTTTCCGTGGTTTTGGTTTGGATGTTCTGTTTGATTCCTGCACTTATTTTCCCCTCCCATTTGAGATGTTGGACAGTTATTTCTCCATGCCTAATCTATAATTTCCACAAATGTTTTTCATCCACAAATCAAGAAACAGGAAAACATTTGCTGAAAGTTCAGTCTGGGAGCTTATGTAGGCACCACATCCGGATGAGAAGAGGAAGGGAAGGGCTGGCCCCTCTGCAGGAAAAGCAAAGGTTCCCACTTCAACCGGCCTGCTGCTTTCTCTCTGCTGCCCTGCCCCAGCGGTACACAAGCCTCTCATTAATGGGGCGGGTTGCTGTTTAAATCCCAAATGTATGCACAATTATTTGGAAGGTAATGTCCTAAAAACACACTGGGTTATTTAAGGTTACAGCATGAAACTAGACCTAAAAACACAATGCATTTATCGTTTTGTCCTCTGGCTCCAGTATGGATGTTGTTGTATTTAGTTAAGAGATTTTCTGTACCCCCACCTTTCCAGAAAATTAAAATCCAAGTTGCATGACAAACATTTTTGAACAAAGACCTAATTAAAGTACAATATAAATATCATTTTAAAGCAGTACTAAGCTCATAAATCCAATGCACTCTACAGTTAAATCCTACCAAAAGCATTTGTGAGTTTGCTGTCTAAATGAAATCAAAGCAAGTGCCAGAAGAACGCAGGAGGGAGCATTCTAGAACTAGGGAGCTATAACTGAAAGGGCTCTGACTGTGGTAGCTTCACATCCAAGTGGTAGTTATGGTAGCTGTCCACTTCACATGGAGCAGAGCCTTCCGAAGTGATTTCCAGATTCAGATGAGACATGGTGGATTTTCACATTTGCTTTGGCATTCTCTTTCAGGAGGCAATTGCATACACTAAATAATCTACTTTCAATGCATTTTCAATGCACTTTCAACTGGATTTTGCCAGTTCATATGGTAAAATCCAGATGGAAAGTGCACTGAAAGTGGATTATTTAGTGAGTGTGATCACAGCATCAGTGTGACACACAAGGCAAACTGTAGTAAGGGCCCTTAGCTTACCACAGTTTGGTCTCAGAATGTATTTGGAGTGCCAGAACTTGGCTTACACATTGACCAGTATAGGACAGGTTTTTTTCTGGTAATGTACAAGAACACTTTTAGTTCACCAGCTATACTACTGGAAGAGGGCAGTATGTTTATTCTGGCTGGAGAGTCCCAGCACTCCTAACTTTAGAAATGAAAATTCATTAAAATATGGAATTCGGCTTTAAATCTACGTTATCAAAACTATAAGATCTTTTTAAGATGGTACATGACTCCTCTTAAATTGTCTCCCTCTCCCCCCGTCTCTCTCTTTCTTTCCACCCCCCCCACTCTTGCCACTCTCTCTCTCTCTTTCGGCCCCCCCTCTCGCCACTCTCTCTCTCTCTCTTTCTCTCCGTCTCTCTCTCTGTTTCCGCCCCCCACTCTCTCTCTTTGCCCCCCCACCGGCTCCGACCCAAGGCCCGCGTGGCTTGGAAGCCGCGCGGGCCTCGGCTCCGTCTTTTTCCGGCTCTCTCTCCCCCCCTCACCGTCTCCGAGGCACCTCGCACTCTCTCTCTCCCCACCCCCTGGCTCCGGCAGCAGCTGCGACGTTCCAGAGCGTCTCCTGCGCACGCGCAGGAGACGCTCTTGCACTTTCGGGGGGATTTAAACATCCCCCGAAATTTTTTTCAACTTTTTTTATTTTTGTGCACACGTGGGGACTGGCCCACGTGTTTACAAACCTCCCCCGGCCCCCCAGCTGCCCCCGGAGCGCTGATTTAGTGATCCGCACTCCGGGGGCAACTTCGCTATTAGATATATAGATTCTGCTGACAGAAGAATGAGTTCTCACTTTGCTTCTTAGCCCAATGACTTTTTAGCAGTAAGTGTCCCTTGAACACCATCAACATCTTTTGGAGACCTGCAAGTGCTGTTTAGGGCAGGGAAAGAAAGGAACTGATCAATTTCTGCTGGTGGAAAGCTGGCAGGATCCAATGCATAGTTTCTACTTACATAATTTTTTCATGTTGAGATCCATAAGATACACAAATGCCTTTCCTGCCCAAATGAAATCCATTTAAAAGGTGAACACACTAACCATGTTTATATGCAAGCACTTTTTAAAGTTTTCATAATCTTGCATATCAAAGTATAAAGTGAGAATAAGTGATATTAATGACTTCATAGAATGTTTGCTTGATGGAAGATGGAAATTTTTGTCTGAGTGTCTTATAGGCCTCATTCATGTTACCAGTGTGTCATGGCAGCTGCCAGAAGGGGGGTGGGAAGGATCCAACACTCTTGCTGCTGTGAGTCTGTGTTGATATTATTGTTGTGTTTGTGTCCCGCATTAGAGTCCCTTTTCCAGCAAGGATACAGATGCTCGTAAAGCAACCATATGACCGATCATGTATTACCATAAAGCCAAACCAGAGGTGAAGTGGTTTTACAGGGCTATGCCACAGTGGCAATATAGTTTCAGTAGACAACATTTCCATAAATATCCTTGTGTTTTACTGTAAGTGTGGAAAACATCTGTTGATTGTCTAGTCTAGATAGCTGCCCCCAGGGCAACATGAGGATCATACCAGCAAACAATGAGCATTCTGCAAGTTACACCTGCAGAACAAGAATGTCTTTGCGAAACACATTCTTTACCAGTGTTAAATTACAGCTGGAAGATCTAGCTGTAGTTTACTGCTGTTTATCCTGGAATTTTGGAATGATATGCTGCTGACAGTTCTTGAGTGGAATATACTCGTATGCATGTCCCAGTGGTTTCCTCTGTCACCACTACAGTAACAGAAAAATATAGAAATCATGTGAAAGGACTGGCATCATGTAGAAGATAATAATGGGTGGGATATTGGGGATGGAGAGCTGTGGACAAGGCTGTAATGTCTTGTTTCCCACATGATAGTATTACTCATTTTCTGAGTAGGAGCAGCAATTCTGCCGGTTGGCCATTAGAGGTTGCTACCTAATCCAGTTTAAGCAATCCAGGAATTTTCAAGAGTTTATAGAGAACAACCCTGACCCGGATAGCCCAGGCTAGCCCAATCTCTTCAGATCTGGGGAACTAAGCAGGGTTGGCCTTGATTAGTATTTGGATGGGACACCATCATGGAATAGCAGGGTTGCTATGCAGAGGCAAGCAATGACAAACCTGAATGTCTCTTGCCTTGAAACAAGAGAGAGAAGAGAAAAGTATGTATTGGAATAATGTTTATAATGAAAACCCGACCTTATTGATTCTGGATTTCAAACACAATGAATGCATGCTGCAGAACAATAAGTTTTTGGAGACATAGGTTTAATTTTTAAGATTAGTAAGTGTTATGTATTGGGACTAGAACATTCCAGGACTGTTTCTACCAGACACTAGCTGAGCTTGGAGCTCTAGAACAAAAGCCCACCAGGATTTTGGAGGTGGCCAATGGGGAAGTAATTGTTCTGATAATGGCCTATCATTGGTAGTTGTTTGGGAAGCGGGTGGAGTTGCATGCTATTTAATAGGGCCATTGCCCTGGCAGAATTTGATCCAGTTTTTGGCAGGCCCAAATAATGACAAATAGGCATTATTCATTTTGTTTTTCAGTTTGTCCGAACCAAATGCACATCCCTAACAAATTCTATGGTCTGTTTCCAGCACTGGAACTTTTATACCTTATCCCATAATCTCTTCTGTCAACACAGTGTGATACTGGGCAGCACTAGCCTAGGTCTAGAACATAAACCTATGATAAAACTGCTTTCCTTTTGAGCTACTGTGAAGGTCCTAAGTGTTTGTAATCCTGCAGCTGTCTATATTCCCTGTTCTTTGGAATGTTACTTAAGAACCCAATTAGCATATATACTTCATTAATGAGCATAACATGTTGTAAGGATATAATTAGAGTAACTCTTATGAGTAATATTATTATTGTAAATCATTTTAATTTCCTCAGACAAGAAGTATGACTGAGATTCTGGGTAATAATCTGGCTTCTAATTATCATTCTAAAAAAGTAGTACTTATTGTTGTTGAGGAGAGTGGTGAAATTGCCACATAGATGTTATTAAAGAGGCAATACCTCAATTTTTTTACAGTG